AAAAGTATTTACGGTATCTTAATGCCCTTTTAGACATTGGGTCTTAACAATCTTTCCTTTAGGCATCTTCATTTTTAAGGCCCTACATTGTCCAGAGATAATGGAATTTCAATATGGCTCCAGGAGTAAATCGTTAAATTGTACACATTTTCAATGGTCAAAAACCAAATGTGAGTCAGTTTGAAAAAACATGATGATACTTTTCTTTTAAAGAGGAATGTCTGAAGAACAGATAATGTTGAAACTAGAAATGTATCTTGTTCCATTCTATCCAAACAACTGCATTGAGCATACCTGTCTGAGTGCCACAAGTATTCTTTTTCCAAAGTTTGTGTGGCTATAACTCAAGAAGTATTAAAGATATCGCAATACGATTTTAAGATTCTAGTTCTTAATAAACTTTTCTTTTGGAATCTTCATTTTCAAGGCCCTACATCATTCAGTCCCAGAGATACGGGGGTCTCGATGAGGCATCAACACAACATCAGTGCAGCATCACGATGCGTGATTGAGATCTAAAAATATAGCACTTGCGTCCCCTCGACCCGTTTCTGCCGTCTGTCCCGTATCAAAACGTCCCCAAATAGAAACGCTGCTGCGCTTTCGGGGACGACCTGAGGGTGCTGAAGTTTGGAGAGTTAATCCAATAGATCATACCAAACTAATTCCCATCGTGCGAAAGGAAACAGAGGAACATTCATCCAGCTTGAAATTTCTAGGCCACCATGTCCAGTGTTGACTAAACCTCTGGCTCCGGACCCAGCTGCGTGTTTACAAAGAACCAGGCTCCATATGCAGGAAAAGTCCCTGTCCTCTCCTCTCCGATCAGATGCTGTCCAGATTATTTTATAATGTTACCAATATTTTCCCATAAACTGGTGATGTGTTGATCCCAGTAACTGATCTAGATTAAAGCCTCAGATGAGGCCAACTTTGGATCGACATACAAATCTGTCAAATATTATCCTTACTTTATAATAATTGCCTCTGCTTGATGTTTACTAATCACAATGTATTATCATCCACTTTACTTAGCAACGTGGAAGTAAGCTTCCGCTTTATTAGCCGCTAAAGGTAAATAACTGAATAAAAGTGCAGTAAACGGTAAAATTATTTATGCTACAAACTAGCATAGTTTTCATTATTATAATTAGTTTAAATATTATCCCTGTTTGCAATATGAAACAGCATAATGGGTTGTTTTTATATAGGTAAAATACCGGAAGCGAATGACAACGGAAGCTTAGCACATTCAAGTTACAAATGCTCCTACGCTAAAAATACGGTTGATAGCTGAATATTATTGCAAAATGGAGATTGGTTTTTCAAACTCTTCTCTGACTGATAGCAATACTTCCCGGTTCTAACATTAAAACATGCATGCTGTCAATGTTTTGTGGAAAGCGCTATACAAATAAAGTAATTAAAAATAGCACATGTAGATTCGTATATTTTAATACTGTGTGTCAAGGCTACAATCAAAATTCATTTATTCATGCTTGAGCTTTGGCTATCGAAAATGTAATGCATCATTAAAGTAGTTCATGTGACTCTTGCACTATATTTCATATTGATTTCATAAGCTATTTGATGTTAGATTTAAAAAAAAAAAAAAAAATGTTAGGAACAGATTGAACATATTTACTGTTAGTCATCCTCTCATCATAAAACATATTCAGAAGTTGCAGTCATAAATTACGACAGGTCTGACTGTGACATCAGTGATGCCAGTGTTTGTCATGTGAATGATTGCAACACGTCGGATTCTTTTGAACTTTCTATTCATCAAAAAATGGGGAAGAAAAAAAAAAGCAAGCGGCAAATCAGCATATTAGAATGATTTCTGAAGGAGCATTCAATTCAAGTTTATTTGTATAGTGCTTTTCACCATACAAATCACTGCAAAGCAGCTTTATAGAAAATTAAAGTTTCTACATTATATTTAGAAGTAGCTTATTAGTGGTGACTATCTCAAGTTGATGTCCATATCATGCAGTTAGTTAATGACATGTAATCAAACAGACGGTGAACACTATTAACAGCATGTTATCATGTGACACTGAAGAATGAAATAATGAGCCTGAAAATTCAGCTTTGATGACAGCAATAAATCACATTTTAAACTATTTTAAATTGTAATAATATTTCATAATATTACAGGTTTTACTGTATTTTTTCATCAAAGAACTTGCCTTGGTGAACATAAGAGGCTTCTTTTAAAAACATCAATCTTGTGACCCGAACTTTTTAACTGTATTGTATAACATGCAATCATGTAATTACACTACTATATTTACAATGTAAATATAACACATTGCAGATTTAGAAAACTGTCTCACATCAGTCAGACATGATCATATCTGAAGGCTGCAGAGATTTATATGAAGTAAAGCGAGGAGGTGATAAAAGTCAGCAAAGTGAGACCCTCTCGGTTCTGTCAGCGAGCTGCAATTGCTGTAATTTCAGTTCCTGAAGGACCTTCAGGTGTGTGTTTGTGTGAGTCCTGTCATCATCACGGCAGCAGGAACACACTGTGTGAACTTGTTCTGCTGCACTTCTGAGGGGCAAATGTCTAATGTCATCACAAACATCACTCCAGCGTTCATGTATCTCACGTGAATAACCGCACATGCATACTGCTAATAATGCGTGCCGATGTGAGAATGTGCAATAAAAGTGTAGCTTGTAAAGAGCTCAAGGCTGTTTTACTACACGAGAAGTTTGTTGTAATGTAACGCCTGCAGGCAAAAGCAACTGTAACCTCAGCACTGCAAGCCTTAGCACATTCAAACACCGTCTTGTCTCAGTCTGAAAACATCTATATATCATTTGAAAGCTATAGCTCGGGTATCATCATTATGAATCACTTTAGACTCTTAAAATAAAGCTGCTTTATTAGCATCTGCTTCCATGATGAACCTGTAATCTTTATATCTTTCCATTCCACAAAAGATTCTTTAAAGTGGAAAAAAGTTCTTTTAAAACTTTTTAAATGTTTTTCATACTAAGAAAAAATGGTTCTTTGAAGAACTGTTCACTGAAATTCATATATAACTGAAATTATAACGCAAAGATGTTGCACTGCAATAACAAAAACATGCACCCATAAACCTTTCTATAATTGGAAAAAATATGTAATTGCATATTTTTATCTAACAATTTGGAATTGGTTTCTTGCAAATCTGAGAAAAAACTCAGAATTGCAAGATATAAACAGAATTCATACTTTTTTTCTTGTAATTACGAGTTTGCATCTTGCGATTCAGATTTTTTCCCCCTCAGAAATCTGAATTTACATTTCTCAATTCTGACTTTTTTTCACTCAGAATTTCAAGCTTACATCTCATATATTTTTCCCCACCATGAAATAAAAAAATAAAGGTAACTGTGACACTATCTCACGATTCAGACTTTTCTCACAAATGTGAGTTTATATCCCACAATTTACACTTTTCTTCTCAGAATTGCAGGTTTACATCTTAAAAGTTTGTATCTTGTTGTTAGTCTTATATTTAGCTTTTTTCTTCTCAGAATTGCAAGAAAAAAAAACAATTTGCTAGTTTATTTATTCTGTGGTGGAAACAGGCGTCTGTAATAAAACCCAAGACTGGTATTGCAAATGCAAATGTTTGCTTGTAGTTTGGGAATGTGTTCTTCAGGTCAGAGCAGCACTAATGCATCAGTTGCACACAGTCTCTTTAATAATAAATGCAGTTGATTTATTTATCATGTTCTGATTCAGCATATTTACAGTTCAATAACAACTTTTTACACATGCAGCATGAGATTTCAACAGTCTATAATAAATAACATTCTATAGAGATGAAACGCTCAGATATTATGTACAACAGAAAATATCAGCATGCTGGTGTTCTCAAAACACTACACAATCAGATCAAACCCGTCTGCATCAGAGATTCCCATCACCCGGCTGTGTTCAGAGCAGCATACTTCTGCATTACATAGACACAGTATAACCTTCCCAAAATGAGCAGCATAATGCTGTGCAACGCTGCATCCCACAATGCATCGACCTGACCTTTTAATTCCAGTGCGATCATCTTGACTCATTATGTGATCAGACAGCTAAACGCTAAGACATTTTAAACAAAACATGGACTTATGTAAAACAATCATATTTTTCAAAGACTGACAGATGCCACACACTGAATTAAACATGCAAAGTGACAAGGTCATGTGACAAACGTAGCACACTGCTGCTGGAAGTATTGAGCATGCTAGTATTCCACTCTGTACAGAAGCGCTGTGATTCACAGTAAACATCAGCATGTGCCCTACAGAGCGCAACAGCAGTAAAGATCCCATTCACTTTCTCCATAGGGAACTGATTTTTAATCATAACTTATAAACCTTTAAAGACAGATCTACTGTAAATCTACAAGGTTGTTAATTAATGCAGTACGTTTTTCTGAAGCATAATTCCAACTGCTTTTTGAAATGATCGTTTAACAGCAGAATTCCTGGTGAAAAACTACATTACCCACAATTCTACAGAGAATGGCATCAAGCAAACTTGCTATTTGTTAATAAAAGAACATTTTCATACCCATATATTAAACATATATTGCTTATTTATACATGTTTTATTAAACTAACACTTTTAATAACTAGCCTATGGCCAGAGATAATGTGCATTATATTTCATTAAAAAAGAATTTCATAATAAATTTGTATAATAATAACAACTTAAAAAAATGCAAAACAAAAAAAGGTAAAGAATTTATATATATATAAAAAAATTATTTGCTTTTAAACATTACTTGCCTTTATTTTGGCGGAAGTCCACAGATTTATATACTATTTTATATCAAAATTACATATTTATATTATTACACCACAGTCTTTGCGATTTGTTAATTATGCTAAATCATAATCACATCCCAGGCATTGTTAGAGTTAGAGAAAAATGTAACTGAAATGTAGAAAAACAAATGTTTCTATTTTATTTTATTTTTTATTTTATTATTATTTTGCTTCAAAGACGTTTTAAAATCCCTATGGGAAAAAATGAATGGGAAAAATACTTCCGGAACTGTTCCACTCCATTATGACCTCACTGTGTGGGCGGAGCTTCCCAAGCAGTTTCATTGATTCTCGTCTTATCGTGGGTCTAAAACAGCACATCCTTCATCAAAGGCACGTCTAGTTTGCTGATTAATTTGAGACAATGTTGATCAAGTCAAATAACCAGCATCACACCTCATAAATCTCTTTCTTGCCATTTAAACACACACATACACACAGGTTCATGAATGCAAAACCCCTTAGTTTTGTGAATTCTGATGCATTCTGGGAACACAAATGTAAATTTACTCATATATCAGCGCACTTCCAAACGCTTGAGGCTGAATATATATGTTTATGCATCCGGCATGTGTGGCATTCAATCTGCTTGTGTTTATATATATATATATATATATATATATATATATGAAATGTGTATGTGGCCAAGTCCTGCAGGATTATATTTCCTCAAGTCCATATACAGTATGTGTATGTGTGTGTTTATTCCCTCCAGTTGGTCCCGTAACCACGCTCAACACCTGTATCTGTGTTCTCCGTCTCACACACACACACACGTTTACACAGCTACCTCCTTTTCCTCAGACTGCTCTCCAAGCGGCCGAGCTCCTCGTATCCCTGGTAGAAGAGCTCGAGCTCGTGGCCTCCCCAGCTCCTCCAGACAGCCAGGCACCAGGCCATGTTTTCTTTACGGAAGCCGCACACAACGGTGTCCTTTGCGACGAGCGCCGCCTCCGCCAGAGTCCTGAGAGACGGACGAGAGGAAGAAAATAACCTGGACTCTTCGCAGAACTGTCATAGAGGAGCAGTTACAGGCCTGAAAGCTTCGACTGTGTGATGAATGTGTGTTTAAGCTGAGAGCCGGCGCGGACAGAGACCAGTTTACAGAGGTGGACAGTAACGAAGTAAATTTACTTGAGTATTGTACTTAAGTACACTTTTTGAGTATCTGTACTTTACTTGAGTATTATTTTTTCTGGAAATTTGCTACTTCAACTTCACTACATTTGAAAGACAAATATCGTACTTTTTACTCCGCTACATTTATATCAAGGTCCCCAAGTAGAAAGTCGTTATATGTAGCAGTGTGTGCATTTTCAGATTCACTGAACCCTTTTTTCTGAGAAAATCCGGCTTGCGATCTGCCAGGACCTTCCAGTGTTGCCAAGTCTTACAGTATTACTAAGCCTGTAGTTTTCCGCCTAGCTTTTTGAATGCATATTTGGCAGATTTTTTTTACGCAAATCTAGCAACCTCGGGACCTTCCCCGCTAAACTAATGTAAACATCTGCGCTACTGCACCGCTAAAAGTGCTCTAAAAAGGCAAATAGGATAATAAAAGACAAAAAAGGCACATATTAGTGTGGTGTGATCATCTGTGTGCTCACCACATTGATTTTAAATAGACAACTGTATGTGATGCCTTACGTTGGCCGAGCTCTACGATCAAAGATCATAGAAGATAAATTAAATGACCTACACCTTGATCTACATGACAGAGAAAATGTATAGTTTTTATTCTGTGTGAACTCGCATGTGAATGTGTTAACTCATTAAATTAACCATGTTTTTACTATAGTAACTAGTTTAACTATGGTATTTGCGGTAAAATCACAGTATCCACAAATTTACTCTTCTCTCACTATAGTAACCATAATTATGATATTTGTAGTAAAACTACAGTAACCACAAATGTAACAGTTTCATTATAGTAACTATAGTTTAATATTTGTAGTTAAACTATGGCAATACAAATGGTAGAATAATATATCAATCAAAAATGGCTGCTATTACCATTTATAAAAAACCTTACTACTCAGGCCTACTGGTAAATTGCTGCTAAAAACTGGTCAAGGAAGTATATAAATCTGAACATTATTTTATTGTCAAAACACTGCACATAAATACTTTTTTTTTTTTTTTTGCAAATAAATGATCAATAAGTAGGTTAAATGATCACACAGGTCAAAATGTTTTACTTCACTTTTTTTAAAACTTTGGAATCTAAACTGGGAATTACTGGTCAAGGAAGTATATAAATCTGAACATTATTTTATTGTCAAAACACTGCACAATAAATACATTTTTTTTGCAAATAAATGATCAATAAGTAGGTTAAATGATCACACAGGTCAAAATGTTTTACCTCACTTTTTTTAAAACTTTGGAATCTAAACTGGGAATCGATAAGAATTGAAATCAATAAGCAGAATCTGAATGGATAAAATTAAAACAATACCAAACCCTAGCCACATGTTGTGACGTTCACTGATTTATGAGCATTTTATGAACACTGATCAGTTGATGGCAAAATTCAAAAAGACGTTTTTTTGGCGCAACTTGCACACCCATGGCCATACTGATAAGAGTATGTTCCAGTATTCTGAAAAGACTAAAGATTTGTTTTCTTTTCAATGCACAGTGGCTAGATTAACAAATAACCAGACGCCACCCAATCTAAATATTCCCTCACAGTTTAATAGTAATGACTTTATGAATTTCTTCACTGATAAAATAGATAACATCAGAAATACAATAACAAATGTAGATTCTACAGCATATCTTCAGCTTTATTCATCGCACCAAAAGATAAACTGCAGTGCTTTACAACTATAGGACAGGAAGAGCTAAATAAACTTATCACTGCATCTAAACCAACAACATGCCTGTTAGATCCTGTACCCACTAAATTACTACGAAACTATGTTACATTTGTGGTTACTGTAGTTTTACTACAAATATCATAATTATGGTTACTATAGTGAGAGAAGAGTAAATTTGTGGATACTGTGATTTTACTGCAAATACCATAGTTAAACTTGTTACTATAGTTACATTCACATGCAAGTTCACACAGAATAAAAATTTGCTTGGTTTGCTTAAAATGAACCATATCATACACTCTTAAAAATAACACACTAGCTAGTTTACATATATATAATATTTAGTTAATAAAAATATATAAATATATATGGTAGTTTAAAAGCAATGTTACAAAAACATTACATTTAAAAATAAATAAAAAGATTTTGTATGTATAGCTAGTGAAAGTTGATCGATAAAAAAATAACAAATATTAAAAATATTAAAAATTTAAATATTTCATATATAGCTAGTTTAAAGTAATGTTAGTCAAAATAAATAAATAAACCATAAATAAATATTATATATTTAATAAATATTAACAATATATATGATAATATTATAAAACAAAAGAAATTCAATTGTTTTATAAACTTTAAAATAAATAAACTCTTTAAAAAGTAAACAAATATATAAACAAGGCGACATGGACGCTCAGACAAAAATCTAAATGCACAAGAAATCTGTGTGTCCTGAGGAATCAGTGCAATTAATTTGACCCAGATGAGAGCTTTAGGCTTTGCGTTTGTAAAAGACTTTCGCGAGGGTTTTTCATGATGAAGCTGCTGGGCTCTTATGGGACACATGTCTGCTGTGTGTGCATGAAATCTATCAGGTTTATGAAGAACTGAATTACAACTGCTCATTTTAGTCATCTTTTTTTCATGCAGATGATTTCATCTGTTTTTAATCCATTTAATCAGGTGCACTACTATATTTTGGTGCAAATGCAAGAAGCTTTAAATATTATTAAGGTTTGATTGGCTTTCGTCTAGCAGAAAGAGTGCTTTGAGGGGTTTTCTCCTCAAAAATCAATGCAGAAGTGGTCTGCAGAATCTGTCTGGGCTTGTTTGCGGCAGCAGAGCGCTACATCCATCACTGATTTCGGTTTGCTACAGGCATCGGGGTCACGAACAGTGTGGAATCGTGTGTGGTTATTAATGTGTGAGTGACTGGCTGCTGACACTCGTACCCGTACTCGGACACTCCAGGCGGCGTCAACACGGCGATCACACGACCCCTGAGCGCACCCGCCTGCTCCTGCACCTCGATCACCATGATGTCTCCTCCACACCTGCCAAACACACACTCTCATTATACTAAAGCAATAAGCCCCAAGAAGCCGTGGTTTACAGTGAATTTATAACAGCTAAGGGGCGTTGTTAGGCACGACGTGAAGCTGTTATAAATCCACTGTAAACCACGGCTTCACGGGGTTTATTGCTTTTATAAAACGGTTATTCCATATACGTAGTAAGGTTTCACAAAATAAAACGGAGCAAATAAAGTGTAATGATATTAATAAAAACAGTATTCTTCCACCAAACAATGTAGTTCCTCAGAAACGGTTGTGGTTGCAACAAAGTGGCTGCCGAGCAACACACAGAAGTAAACAAAGGTGTATGTTTGTGGAGTAATTTACAGCAACTTCGAACACGGCTCAGCCAATCAGAATCAAGCCCCGGAACTATCTGTTTTATATACTTCACTATCACACAGAATTAACAGAAATAAAAAACTTGTTCATAGCTAGCTAGTTTAAAAGTAAATGTTAAAGATTAAAATAAAATAAAGTAAAATGAAATGAAATTACAAAATAATGTTGACAATGTAATATTAAAAATGAAAATAAATAATCCATGTATTTAGAAATAGATTAAAAAGATTATATAAATAGTCATTTTTTTGTTCAACACAATATAAAAAGTAATGTTAATTTAAATAAATGAACCATTAAAAACTATTTATGGCTAGTTTAAAACAAATTTTAAAAATAAAAAAAAACTAAATTTCATACAGATAGTCTTACATTTTTTGTTGACAGTATAATATTACAAATTAAAATAAATAAACCATGTATTTAAAATAGTAAATTTTATGTTCCTCACAATTAAATCAAACTTAAATAAAAAAAATAAAGAAATTATATAAAACTAGTCAAATAAATACAGTGGGGCAAAAAAGTATTTAGTCAGCCACCAATTGTGCAAGTTCTCCCACTTAAAACGATGAGAGAGGCCTGTAATTTTCATCATAGGTATACCTCAACTATGAGAGACAAAATGAGAAAAAAAATCCAGAAAATCACATTGTAGGATTTTTAAAGAATTTATTGGTAAATTCCTCTGTAAAATAAGTATTTGGTCACCTACAAACAAGCAAGATTTCTGGCTCTCACAGACCTGTAACTTCTTCTTTAAGAGGCTCCTCTGTCCTCCACTCGTTACCTGTATTAATGGCATCTGTTTGAACTCGTTATCAGTATAAAAGACATCTGTCCACAACCTCAAACAGTCACACTCCAAACTCCACCATGGCCAAGACCAAAGAGCTGTCAAAGGACACCAGAAACAAAATTGTAGACCTGCACCAGGCTGGGAAGACTGAATCTGCAATAGGTAAGCAGCTTGGTGTGAGGAAATCAACTGTGGGAGCAATTATTAGAAAATACATAAAAGACAAGACCACTAATAATCTCCCTCGATCTGGGGCTCCACACAAGATCTCACCCCGTGGGGTCAAAATGATCACAAGAACTGTGAGCAAAAATCCCAGAACCACACGGGGGGACCTAGTGAATGACCTGCAGAGAGCTGGGACCAAAGTAACAAAGGCTACCATCAGTACAAAATAATGATCTTTAAAATAGCATCATATGACCCCTTAAAAAAATTAGTTCATATTATATATATATATATATATAGAAAGCCGTTTAATTTTTAGTTGATAATATAATATTATAATATTATTATAACTACTTTAAAAATACCACAAATAAACAAAGCTAGTAAAAAGTTTGTCGACAATATAATATTAAAGCTAAAATAAACCATACATTTAAAAATAAATAAAACAAATATCTGTAGCAAGTACATTTTTTGGTTCAATACAAAAAAGGGATATTAACTAAATGAAAATAAATAAATTGCACAGTGTATGCTGCTTTATCAAGATTTACCAAGCATGTTTTAATTAAACAAAATCCATCCACATAAGTGCAGATTCCTGATCTGGTTCTGAATTTCCCATTCAACAAATATATGTCTGTACATCTATTTCTCCATCCTGGAGGACTTACAGAACACAAAAAAGGGAGGAAAGGAGGATGAACTAATAAGGAATAAAGCAGGGAACAAGCCTCTGCCTCCGCTCTCATTTACATTGAGTTTCTCTGTCTGTTGAACAGCATCTCCCAAAATGAATGAAATATATTTAAAGCCACTAAAAGTTCCTTTTCAGGAACAAAAATGTTTAATCAGAGCTCCCAGACGTCTCTGACCAATTATTTTTCATAACTTTTCCAGTAATTTTTTTAACTCACAGAACAATATCTACACTGAAACAAAAAACACTTTTTTTCTCCGCTGGTTGTTCAATTGGCTTAATTAAAATTAGCTAATGCAACAATTCTGAACTTAATTTTATTGCACTCAATCCACTTACATTTGCAAAACGAACGTCTGCTTAATCTGCACAACTGCATGAATCATTTTTGTCAGCATTAACTGATTTGTAGTTATAATAATAAACGCTGAACAATACCATCTTCCAATTTATTCTTTTATTGTTTGGATGAATGCACACATCACACACTGATACACAATAGCGAACTCTCGTGCTCATAAAAGAGATTTAACCTAGTTTAGAAGTAGCAGGAAGCTCCTTTTATAAATCATGTCCTTATGTTTCCCTTGAACTCAACATGAGGCACCTGTGTGACCTGATTACTCTGCGGTGTCTAAGTCCAACGCCTCCTGAGACTCACATTATAATGCATTTATATTCATGAATAAAACATGGCCATTTTAATGCGCACTCCTGAAATAGCACTTCATTCTGCCCTTGATCCTGTGCTTAAAATCTCTTTAAACGAATGTTTAAATTGATGCAGGACACGTCCCTTTGTTGCTCCTGGAACAATATTTATCATAGTCTGAAATCAATGACAGATCTAATTCTACATAAACAACTACAGTCAGACAGTTTTAGGCCCAAGCTAAGTTCAGAAGGACCTGCGTCAGCTGAGAAACTGCTATTGAGATGAAAGGACTGCAAACGCTAACCCAAACACTGCTCTAATACCAGCGGTGGCTGATGCATGTCCATGACACCTGCACGCTCCAACTTTGGCTGTAAGCTGTCTAACATGCTTCCTTTACCTTGAAGTCTTAAAGTTGTCATGAAACTGAAGTTGCAACCAACTTTACTACTGTATTGAGACATATTTCCAAGTGAAACGGCTATGTAAACAAGAAAAGATTATGAGGTTTAAAAGATATATTACATTTCACTATAAGATAAAGTAACGTGCATTAAGAAAATAAATAGGGTCAATACTGATTTTATACGGGCTGTAACGTCAGAGATGTTGTGCTAACTGCTTGTAAGTTGTGCTCAAAGTTTGTCGTGCTTTCTGGTAGTTACACAAACAGAAAACTGTCAAAATTATCAGTACACAATCAACTAGTCATGAAAAGTACTGATTAGAGCATTACATCTACTCCTGTTGCATTTGTACTACTGTTCAAACGTTTTGAGTTAGTATGACTAAGAAATTAATACTTTTATTCAGCAAGGATGCATTAAATTGATCCAAAGTAACAGAAAATACATTTATAATGTTACTGAAGATTTCCATTTAAAAAAAATGCTGTTCTTTTGAACTTTTTATTCATCAAAGAAACATGAAAAAAATGTTGGTTTCCATAAAAATATGAAGCAGCACAACTGATAATAATGAGAAATGTTTCTTGAGCAGCAAATCAGCATATTAGACTGATTTCTGAGTGATCATGTGACACTGAAGACTGGAGTAATGATGCTGAAAATTCAGCTTTGCATCGCAGGAATAAATTACATTTTGATATATATCCACATAGAAAATAGCTAGGCTATTTTAAACTGTAATAATATTTCCCAATATTTCTGTTTTTACTATATATTTCCTAAAAAAAAATACAGCCTGGAGCCAAAGAGTAGATTTAGACTGATATAGATTTTTTTATGACCAATACAGATACAGATTATTTGCAATAAAAAAAAAAAAGGCTTAATTATCAAGAAAAATATCAGTAAAACCATTTATCGGTGGATCTGATATTATAAAACTGATATCCAATTATGAAAAAAAGCTTAAATATTGGGAACAATATCAGTATAACCATCTATCGGTGGATCTGTTATTACAAAATTAATATCTGATAATGGAAAAATGCTTAAATATCGGTAAAATCTCAAAATAAGAGACATTTTGAAATCAGTATCGGATAACCGATATCTGATTATTGGAAAATGCTTAAATATAGGTAAAAATGCCAGTAAAACCGATTATCGGACGATCTCAAAATAACACATTTTGAAAACATAAAATTGAAAACCAACCCCAAATATATGAATGATAGAACACAATTTACTGGAAAAATAAACCTTTTATAAGATTATAAATGTTTTTCTGTCAGTTTTGATCAATTTAATGCATCCTTTAAGAAAAAGAGTATTAATATCATTTAAAAAAAACTGAAAAGAAGCATATGTAAACACTGATTATAATAGGTGCATTTTCAAGAGTTTTTAAAGTGCCCCTATTATGGATTTTTGAAAATTGAAAACATCCTGCAAAGTTTTAAATCTGAAAGTGCACCATGTATAAAGTTAGCATCTTTCAAAAGAAAGAGTCGACTCAGAATCATTGAAACGAGTCGTTTTTAAAAACGAATCCCAAGCTGTTTCATGTTGACGTCAACATGAAACATTAGCATATTGCCCGCCCACTTGTTGGTCTTTTCCGTTGGTCTGAATGAAAATGCAAATTCATTCTTTGCCACTAGGTGCTGCTTTTGGAGCGGTAAAAATAGCGGTTTCCCAGGTAATGCTGTAAACAAAGCAGCACTGCACTCACAAACGCTGCTTTATCAGGCATCACAGACATGATGAAAATGAGACCAATCGGACCAATCACCACATATTAGCGTCACGCAAATGAGGGGTTTAGAAAAATGAATTGTTGAACGAATCGTTTGGGAGTCGTTGAGCAAGGTAAAAATAAATGCATATTATAAGACAATAAAAGTGTTTTTTGACCTTGCATGCATGTCAACCTGTTGTTGGAGACTCCCAAAACCAAAATATGAACCTTTCATTACCCATAATAGGGGCACTTTAAATGAAATAATATATATATATATTTTTTATAATAATACATTGTACCTGGGCACCCAGATGGTGCTGTTGACAGGAATGATGTTCAAGGCCTTCAGCTGCGCTGGTGTGTGGCTTTGAGCCGCCAGTTCTGGATCGGTTGCGCTCCTGGATGCAAATGCTTCAGCTGAAACCGGCTCGTCTGGCGGTCTGTCCGCCTCCTCGAAGTCCGTGGATAAAAGCATGCTGCTGGAGCTGGTCAGAGAGCTGAGGGCTCCCGAGCTGGAGCGCTCCACGTGAGGGAAATGGCCGATCTGATCCAGCTGCTCCGAGCTGAAGCCGGAGGACGTCATGGAGCAGTAATCCAGAGAGTCCTGCTGGCACAGGATCTGCGTTCCTGCGTCCTCGTGGTGCGTGACCATTACCTTCAGTGGCTCCAGGACAGCCGGAAGAGACTCTTCGTCGATGTCAGGATCAGGGGTCACAGGGGTCACGACCCCAGCCGGCCTCTGCACGGGGAAAACGTCCCGCAGCGGGTTGGCGTCGCTGCAGTTGTACGTAGCGCAGATCTGGTAGCTGGTGGCGTGATACATGAGGAGCGTGTTGGTGTGATCGTCCAGACACCAGACGGCCTCGTCATTCCAGCAGCTGGCGGACGAGACCATGCAGCGCACACAGGACGGCGGCAGATACGGCTCGAGGCGGCGGATGGGCTGTAGCGTCAGGCTGTCGATGACCAGCACGCCGGGGCCGTTGCTGTACCACACCTCTGACCCGGTGCACACCGGCACGATGCTGCGCACGGCATACGGACGCTGCCGAGGGTCCGAGTCATCCATGTTCAGCAGATGCTTGTTGATCGTGTGCGAGCAGATGTAAGTCTCCCCTTCCACGGGCATGTCGTCCACCAGAGAGTAAACCACCACGAGACCGTCAGACATGCCAGCAAACACCTGCGGGAGAGACTGAAACACAAGGGACGTAACGTAAATAAATGTTTGATATTACGGTTTATTATATTATGTTACGATTTTTTCTTTAATACAATAATGCTTACTTAAAGGGTTAGTTCACCCAAAAATGAAAATTCTCTCATTCATTACTCACCCTCGTGTTGTTCGAAACCCGTAAGACCTTCGTTCATCTTCGGAACACAATTTAAGATATTTTTGATGGAATATGACGGCACAAAGAAAACAAAAATAACGACTTTATTCCACATTTTCTTCTCTACTGCGTCACTTGTGGACGCTCGTTCACGATAGTATCATGATGCAAGCTTGTGGTGATGACGTTATCACGCTGGATCTGGGTCAGTGCCGCCACATGCTCACGTCATGATACTGTCGTGAACGCACGTCCACAAGTGACGCAGTAGAGAAGAAATGAGTCGTTATTTTAGTTTTCTTTGCGCAAAAAAGTATTCTCGTAGCTTCGTAACTTTACAGTTGAACCACTGATGTCACACGGACTACTTTGTCGATCATCTTGGTACTTTTCTGGACCTTGAACGTGGTAGTTACCTTGCCGTCTATGGGAGGGTCAGAGAGTCCTCAGATTTCATCAAAAATATCTTAAATTGTGTTCCGAAGATGAACGAAGGTCTTACGGGTTTCGAACTACACAAGGGTGAGTAATTAATGACAGAATTTTCATTTTTGGGTGAACTAACCCTTTAAGTATAATAATATAATTATTTATTAATATGTTGGCACAATTTTATAAATATTTGTATATATAGTTATATCATATTTAATAATTATTCACATGAATAAAATATGTTTTTTTATAAATATATACAGTACTGTGCAAAAGTCTTAGGCCAGTAGTATTTTCACCAGCTAAAATTTTTTTTAAATCTATAAATTTCTATCTTTTGATGTAGTGTGTCAGTAGGAAAATTTCAGTTAACATTCATTTTGTCATTAATTGTAATAATCCAGTGAGATTTTTGTCTGACAACAGCCAGACTTTCACACAGTGCTGTATATTATAACATAAAACATTATATGTGTATTATGTAATATATTATACTATGAAATTTTACTTACTACAATACTGACTTGCATTAATATAGTTATTTATCAATATAATATTTTTACATACATTAATATAATATATTAATGGATGCTTAATACAATGATATAGTCATATATACTGATATAATGATATACAATTATTAATAAATATAATACTTTGTTAACATTATATTTATAAATAATAGTTTGTAATACTAATGTTTACTTGATAGAATATTTACTTCAATATTGTTTATTTGTACATAAAGTTCATAAATCTGTATTTATATTAATATAGGATTATAATATAATACAATAATACATTTTTAAATAATGCTAAATTACTTTACTCACATTAATATAATTAAGTGTAACTAACATCATACATTACTACTATATTATGCATTTTTTCGTAATACAATATCTACTTACATTCATATATTTATTTATTAATATAATACTTTAATATGTTTACTTAATATAATCCTGAATTTAATGTTATTTGTAAATATAGTTTGTAAATCTATACATTAAGATAAGATTATAATACATTAATACTTCATAATATATAATAATACATTTTTAAGTAATACTATATTAATTTTTACTTAATACGATAAGTTACTTCCATTTATGTAATTATTTATTAATAAAATACCTTTTTACAAATATAATGTAATGTAATGTAATATAATATAATATAAATGTAAAAAAACGTGTAAATTTGTATGGATCTCCACAATTAGTGGCACCAAAAACAAACATTTTCAACTAGATTTCCAAAACACTCCCGTCAACCAAAAACTTGTACTTTTCCACCATGTTGAGATCACAAGAAATAAGTTGTCAAAAATAATAATGCATATATTTGGAAACTCAGTTTGGTGCCACTATGAACGAAATGCTGCATATTTCAACACGAGATTTCGGAGTTCCATACTAATGTACATGTAGATGAACTCTAGTTGAAAGGGTCGATTCAAGTCAATATATATATATATATATATATATATATATATATA